AACTATGATGGAGGATGGGAAGGTGGCTCAGAGGTAGAGAGCTTGCCTTGCATGCCTGAGGCCCTGGGTTCGATTCCTCAGCACCACATAAAGAAAAAAGCCGGAAGTGGCACTGTGGCTCAAGTGGTAGAGCGCTGGCCTTGAGCTGAAGAGCTGAGGGGCAGCACCCAGGCCCAGAGTTCAGGCCCCACGACCCGACCCAAAAAAAAACAAAAACAAAAAAAAACTATGATGAAAAAAAATGTTTCTTTAATACTTAGTATTTGTTTCTTTTTTTTTTTCTTTTTCTTTCACAGTAGTCTTAGGGCTTGAACTCAGGGCCTGGCTGTCATCTCTGAGCTTTTTAGCTCAAGGGTAATGCTTTTCTACTTGAGGAACAGCTTCTTGCTGATTAACTGAAGTCTCATAGACTTTTCTGCTGGGGCTGACTTCGACAATCTTCAGATCTTAACCTCCAGGATAGCTAGGATTGAAAGTGTGAGCCACTAGCACCAGACTCATACTTAACATTTCTATACTACCAAGTATTGTGCATATAAAAGATGTTCAATAATGTTTACATAATAACATTAAATTAGAACATGCAAACATTACATTAACTGTTTTGTTTTGTTTTTTACTTTAAAACTATATTTACTAATCTCCTTAAAAACATAACTTCTTTGTTGAAGTATAAATGGGAAAAGAGAAATAGAACATATTCAGGGAAAAAATAATCATTGTTCATGGCCAGTTAAAGCTACTGCTATTTTATGCGGTCTGTTCATTTTCTAAATATAATCAATCATTTGTGAAAAGTAAGTTAAAGCAAATTTACATATACTATTTTATTATTACCAAACATTTTATAAGACTTGGCAGCTCAATTGCCAGAAAGAAGAAATTCACCTAATATTATCTTCACTTTGAAATTAGAGGAAGCTCTAGTTTGCAGTTGGAAAATGAATAAAAAAAAAAACAACTCATACTCTATTTGCTAAATAAGACTAAATTATCACCACACTCATAGATACGACTTTTTCTGGGCCATAAACCAGCATGCCACATTCCTAACATTCTAAATAATTATCTGGCCTCCCTTACAGGCCATTCTAATCAAGTCTCACCTCACAGAAGGCTCCAGTTGCAGAAATAGATCTTTAATGCCAGAAATATGTCCTCACAGAAAAAATCCAGGAATAATATTCAAGTATTTTCATATAGTAGCACAGTTCTTTTAACATTTTTGAGGAAACAATCTGTGCTCAGACACAATGACCTTCGGAGATCTACTTAAAATGGCTATAAGCCTTACATTACTACTAACAGATAAGAGGATAATGAAGGAGGAGACACAGATTCACTAGGAGGTTTATGGTCTAAGAACTCTGAAATGCTTTTTCTCCCTAATGACAGAAGGCTTTAACATTGTAAACTGTGGTAAGGAAGCATAATATATTTATTTTTATTAAGATAAATGATAAAGCAGGGTAATACAAATTTCTTAAGTTAGATATGAAAAAGATAATATTCATGCCAGGCGCCAGTGGCTCACGCCTATAATCCTAGGTACTCAGGAGGCTGAGATCTGAGGATCATGGTTCAAAGCCAGCCAGGGCAGAAAAGACCGTGAGACTCTTATCTCCAATAAACATCTCAGAAAACCAGAAGTGGTGTTGTGGCCCAAGTGGTAGAGTGCTAGCCTTGAGCTGAAGAGCTGAGGGACAATGCCCAGGCCCAGAGTTCAAGCCCCACGACCAACAAAAAAAGAAAGAAAGAAAATATTCATGAGTTATAGTGCCCTAAAAGTCATCAAAAATAAAACATAACTACTCCAGAATTTATATTTTACCACTCAAGAAATCACTGAGTTTAAAGACCTTCATTCTTAAAATATATTTTGTAAAAACTCCAAAATCTCCTTTTTAGTATACTTGAAAAGGTATTTAGTAGAAGTGTCAGAGGCACATATATTTTCTTCCAAATGTATCTGAATTCATAGACGAATATGATTACTATTAAGCTAAATAATTCATAGAATGGCAATTTCATTGTTGGCAAACAGGTAATCATTCAACTATCGTGTTTAGATCAAATAAAATTCAATGTTAAAGAGAAACAGGGAAAAACTCATTTCTAAGTCCCCCAAGGAGGAAAAAGGGAATCTTCAAGGAAGCCTAAGTCACTGTGAAGTTGACAGTTCACTATAATCACATATACCATATCTTCACCATTTTTACTTGCAACTAGAAGCTACTCATAAAAGATTAAAGAAAAAAAAGATTAAAGAATAAAGTCACTATGATTAAACAGTCTCTGAATCCTAAAGTTATAAGTATACATTTTGTGGTTTAAACATCCCAATTTTTCCACCTTTTAGCCATTTGATCTTTAAAGTTAAAGTTTCTTTAACTTCTTTCAGCTTTGGTTTCCTCATTTGTATAAAAAGGATAGCAAGGAAGTGGCGCTGTAGCTCAAGCCGTAGAGCATTTGCCTTAAGCTGAAGAGCTGAGGGACAGCGCCCAAACCCAGAGTTCAAAACCCACGACTGACAAAAAAAAAAAAAAAAAAAAGCACTCAGATTAGATAAGATACCGAGTATAGTACCAGCTACAGCAAGTACTTAATTGCTATGTAAGAAACTAAAACCTTCCACTACACATGGTGGGTTTTTTTTTTTTTTTTTGGGGGGGGGGTGTCAGTTAAAAGTAAAAAAGCTATTGTCAAAAATAAATCAGAGTGGCCAGATGCCCAAGGCTCACACTTGTAATCCTAGCTACTCAAAAGGCTGAGATCTGAGGATTGTGGTTTGAAGCCAGCCTGGGCAGGAGAGTCTGTGAGACTCTTATCACCAATTAATCATAGAGGGCGGGGGAAACAAAATGGGAGGTGGAGAAAAAAACAGAAGTGGCTCTGTGGCTCAAGTAGTAGAGTGCCAGCCTTGAACAAAATGACTCAGGGAGCTGGGCGCTGGTGGCTCACACCTGTAATCCTAGCTACTCAGGAGGCTGAGATCTGAGGATTGCAGTTCAAAGCCAGCCCGGGCAGGAGACACCGTGAGACTCCTATCTCCAATAAACCACCAGAAAACCGGAAGTGGCGCTGTAGCTCAAGTGGTAGAGCGCTCGCCTTGAGCTGAAGAGCTGAGGGACAGCGCCCAGGCCCAGAGTTCAAGCCCCACGACTGACAAAAAAAAAAAAAAATGACTCAGGGACAGCACCCAGGCCCAGAGGTCAAGCCCCCAATTTATAGTAAAAACTGGTTTCCAGGTCCCACTGTATACTCTTCTTAGTGGACTTTACCTTCTCTTTATTAACTAACATAAGCATAAAAAGAAAAATGAAGGGCTGAGAATGTGGCTTAGTGGTAGAGTGCTTGCCTAGCATGGATGAAGCCCTGGGTTCAATTCCTCAGTACCACATAAACAGAAAAGGCCGGAAGTGGCACTGTGGCTCAAGTGGTAAAGTGCTAGCCTTGAGCAAAAAGAAGCTCAGAGACAGTGCCCAGGCCCTGAGATTAAGCCCCAGGACTGGCAAAAGAAAAAGAAAGCAAAGAAAATTAGTTATTTTAACTTGGTATAAAATGTACTATGAAGGAATAGACACAGGGTTTTCTGGAAACACACACATGAAAAGCCCTGGAAGTCTTGTTATTCAAAGATGTACATGAAGGGCTGGGAAGGTGGCTCAGTGGTAGAGCACTTGCCTTGCATGCTCGAGGCCCTGGGTTCGATTCCTCAGCACCACATAAGCAAAAAAGAAAAAAGCCAGAAGTGGCACTATGGCTCAAGTGGTAGAGCGCTAGTCTTGAGCTGAAGAGCTGAGGGACAGTGCCCAGGCCCAGAGTTCAGGCCCCACGACTGGACCCAAAAAAAAAAAAAGATGTACATGAAGAATACCTAAAGAGGATTGACTAGATAAGGATTGTAACCACAGGAAAGAAAAATAATGGGTTAGTACTGTATAGTGGATTTAACAGTGACTCCCAAAAACTCATGATTACCTGGATCCTTAGAATGAGACCTTACTTAGAAATTGGGTACTTGTAGATATAATGAATTTAGAAACTGGAAGCCAAATCCTGGATTTAGGCTGGGCCCTAAATTCAATGATTGATATCTTCATAAGAAGGAAGGGCACACAAATATATACAGAGGACATACAAAGACAGAAGAAGAAAATGGAATTATACTGCCACAAGCTGAGGAATGCTTGAGGTCACAAAAACTGGAAGAGGTATGGATGGATTCTTCTTTTGGAAGAAAAACAAAGTCTAGTTAATATCTTATTTCAGCTGTTGAAACCATGAGAGAGAGAGAGTACATTTCTCTTAATTTTAGCTTATGAATTTGGGTAGATTGTTGAAGCATCACTGGAAACAAATACAGCTCAAAGAATATTTGCAGAAGCCGGGCACAGTGGCTCATGCCTATAATCCTAGCTATTCAGGAAATTGAGATCTGAGGATCACAGTTCAAAGCCAGCCCAGGCAGAAAAGTCTTGGTGAAACTCTTTTCTCCAAGAAACTACTCAAAAAAGCTGGAAGTAGGGCTGTGGCTCAAGTGGTAGAATGCTAGGCCCACAACTGGAAAAAAAAAAAAAAACATTTGCAGAGAGCTATTTTCCATGTTCCAGCATTTCATTTGATTATACCATGGAAGAAAAAATGCATTGATCAAAAATTTTGTCTTGGGGGCTGGGAAGGTGGCTCAGTGGTAGAGCACTTGCCTTGCATGCCTGAGGCCCTGGGTTCGATTCCTCAGCACCACATAAGCAAAAAGAAAAAAGCCGGAAGTGGCACTGTGGCTCCAGTGGTAGAGCACTAGCCTTAAGCTGAAGAGCTGAGGGACAGCGCCCAGGCCCAGAGTTCAGGCCCCAAGACCGGACCCCCCCCAAAAAAAAAAAAAAAATTTTGTCTTGTTTTTTTTTTTAAAAAAATGTCTTTGTATTATCCTGAGTTTATCAGATTATTGCTAATTATATTAAAAGGTAAACAGAAAATAATGAAATTCCATTACTTACAATGTGTGACACCAGCCAGAGTTTGGTAGAAAGTAGGAGTATCACTGTCATCAGTTAGGGTAACATACACACCTCCAGACAGTAGCCAACGAGAGAAGGTAAAAGCATCTTTGTTTATAAGAAGCCAATTTCTAAATTTTTCATAGTTTACCTTTTCACCCTAAAATAAAAATTTTAAAAATCAGTCAAACTTTAGGGTATTTAGAACTTGTACAAATTAAAATTTGCAATTAGTTGGCATTTATCTTTCTAATATCCAAAAAGGAAGGATAATCTAAATAACATGTATTTAGAAATAAAACTTTTCAAATCTAATTATATATCAGAACTCTGCATACAATCTATGTGCTACATATAAACTATTTTATCAACTGATTAAAGCAGTCCGAGGCTAATAATTAGCTATAGTTTATTTGCTAAGATATATTCTATAATCAATAAGTTCTATTTTGACAAATTCAATAAATCTAATTTTTCATTTACCCTATCCTTCTTCTTTAGTACTTCATAATCTATCTACATTATTATATTTTCATCAAATCTATTAGGAATTAAAACACTGTTAAAAATAACTATTCAAAAACCTTCCTAGAGATGGTAGGGGGAAAACAATGGAGGGGGGTAACAATGTTCAATAAGAAGTGTACTCATTACCTTACTCATGTAACTGTAACCACTGTATAGTATCTTTACAATAAAAAAAAAAAGAAACAAAAGAAAAAAATAAAAAACCTTCCTAGAGAAATGGGCGCTGTGGCTCAAGTGATAGAGCTCTAGCCTTGAGCACAAAGAGACTCAGGGACAGTGCACAGACCCTGAGTTCAAGCCTCAGGACCAGCAAAACAAAACAACCTTCCTATAGTATCCCAGAAAGCATGTAAACGAATGAAACAATACAAAAAGAAAGTGATAAATCTTTAAAGAACAGAAGACAAACTGGGTGGCAGTGGCTCATGCCTGTAATCCTAGCTACTCAGGAGGCTGAGATCTGAGGATCAAGGTTAAAAGCCAAGCCCCGGCAGGAAAGTCCATGAGACTCTTATTTCCCATAAACTACCAGAAAACCAGAAGTGGCACTGTGGTTCAAGTGGTAGAGCACTCACCTTGAGCTGAAGAGTTAAGGGGCTTTGCCCAGGCCCAAAGTTCAAGCCCCACAACTGACAAAAAAATAAAATAAAAAGAACAGCAGATAGAAATATGACAAAAATTTCTTTGCCCGAGGTTAGCGTTCTACCACTTGAACCATCATTCTACAGCCAGCTTTTTTGGCAGTTAACTGGAAATAAGAGTCTTTCAGACTTTCTTGCCCAAGCTGGCTTAGAATTGTGATCTTCAGATCTCAGTCTCCTCAGTAGCTAGGATTACAGGCATGAGCTTCTGGCACCAATCTAGAAATTCACATTTTAAAAATCAATAACAATAAAAAAAAACACCTCAGTAAGAAAAAAGTGTAATATATATGTCTTATACTAATTATTTAAACAAATTCCATCTGTTAAGACTAGTAATAAGGCTGAGAAGGTGGCTCAGTGGTAGAGCACTTGCCTTGCATGCTCGAGGCCCTGGGTTCCACTCCTCAGCACCACATAAGAAAAAAGCTGGAAGTGGCGCTGTGGCTCAAGTGGTAGAGTGCTAGCCTTGAGCTGAAGAGCTGAGACAGCGCCCAGGCCCAGAGTTCAGGCCCCACGACTGGACCCAAAAAAAAGAAAAGAAAGAAAGAAAGAAAAAGACTAGTAATAAAAAAAAAAAATAGAAAAAGCTGACTCATGTTCTAGGTATCTACCTTTTGACTAAAGTGCTTTTTTTTTTTCTTGGTCAGTTGTGGGACATGAACTCGCGCCTGGGCACTGTCCCTGAGCTCTTTTGCTCAAAGCTCCCACTCTACCACTTTGAACCATAGTTCCACTTCTGGTTTTCTGGTGGTTAAGTGAAGATAAAGAGTCTCACAGACTTTCCTACCCAGGCTGGCTTTGAACTATGATCCTCAGATATCAGCCACGTGAGCTGTTAAGATTATAGGCATGAGCTACCAGAGCCCAGCTATAGTTGTTTTTTTTTTTAATGAAAAATAGGGGCTGGGAATGTCGCTTAGTGGTAGAGTACTTGCATAGCATGCATGAAGTCCTAGGTTTTATTCCTCAGTACCTCATAAACACGGTAAGCCGGATGCTCTGTGGCTCAGGTGGTAGAGTGCTAGCCTTGAGCAAAAAAGCAGCTCAGGGACAGTGCTCAGGCCCTGAGTTCGAGGCCCAGAACTAGCCAAAAAAATTGTTTTTAAATAACAGAATGCATTGTTGTGAAAGACATGAATAAAATTATTTTAGGGCAAGTGAATGATTATAAAGATTTAGATATCAAGGGTCTAGATGTAATTATCAGACACAATACTCAAAAATTAGAGATAGTAAACATAATTTTTTTTTTTTTTGCCAGTCCTGAGGCTTGAATTCAGGGACTGGCACTGTTCCTGAACTTCTTTTGCTCAAGGCTAGCACTCTTCCACTTGAACTAGTGCCACTCCTGGCCTTTTCTGATTATATGGTACTGAGGAATTGAATCCAGGGCTTCATGCATGTGAGGCAAACACTCTACCACTAAGCCACGTTCCTAGCTTTATTTTTTAAATTTGTCCATTCATTTCATTGGATTCTTTTTCTCTTAGTGGTACTAATAATTAAATCAAGAGCCTAGAAATCTAGAGCTAAAAGTGCTCTGACCAGTGAGCTACACACCAAGTCTTCACAATACTGTTTGGCTTTTTTCTAATCCAAACACAGATACATAATAATTCAAATAACCATTTACAGGCACCTCCCAATCCCTGGCCTCACAATTCTTTAGTCTACTCTTTCAAAGTCTTTGTTCCTAAAGCTAAGACTAGACAAAAAATAAATCCCAGTATTGAACCAATATTTGACCTTCAGAGAAATCATGGGAAAGAAATAACCAAATATAACCTAAAGTGGTCAGTTTGAATTGGTAATGAAACTCTTTCTGCTTTAATCCTTACAAAAAGATAACCTGAAAGGACCTGACCAGTGAGTTATTTTTCTACTCTTCTGTCACTAAGCCTTGGTCTTACAAGGAAAGTAACTTTGGAATAACTAACCAATTCTTTATACTTTGTTTCTATTTCTTAAAAAAAAAATTCACTTTGCCTAACTTTACCAGCATACCTATCACATAGCAGAATTAGGATACTCTGATTATCTTTAAAAAATTCTGTCATGAAACAGACTAATTGGTTTGCTCATACCACATTTAGTGACTGTCTCTCAAACAAACAAACAGTTAAAACTTAGTCAATATAAAGCGGATGAAATGTGAATCTTTAAATATACCTCTGAGAAACACTTTTTGAGTGTATCTGGGACTTTACCATCCACCACATGAAGCATTCTTTCCATTTCTTCCCGTACAACATAGCTCCCGGATTCACTTGAAAAAAGACTAAAAATGTCTACAAGAAAGAAAAATTAAATAAATTACTCTTAACATGGATCAAATATGCCCTAGTGAAGCAGGGAAACAGAAAGAGTACTAATAACTAAGTAATTTTAAGAGCAAAATAGTTTATAAACATAACTTCATCTTTAAAATAACCCAATGACACAAATTTTAAAAACAATGTGGTTTTTTTTCCAATCAAATTTGTAAAAAAAAAAATTTTTTTTACATGTGATATTACATGTGTTATCAAAGACTAAGAGCAGCAGAATCTCATAAACAATGGTAACTAAAGTATAAATAAATGACAGCACTCTGGAGAATCATTTGGCAAAATCTAGAAAAGATAAAGCTGGATGCCAGAAACTACTTCCAGACAACTCCACTTCCAATCTGGGAAAATCTCTGACTCCTGTACACACAGTACCATATGTTCACTTAAATACTATTTATGAGACAAAAACTGCAGGGGCATGGCTGCAATCCCAGAACTTGGGAAGTTGAGGCAGTAAGAACTCCAGCCTAAGCTACAGACTTTATCTCCAAAAAAAGTTTAAAACTGTCATAGCAATGAAAGATAAGTTGAAAGATACACAAACATATTATAAATTCAGAAGAACATTCAAAAGGAATGGAAGACCTCCAAATTCAAGATGGTAAAAATAAGAGAAGGGCAGAAATGGCACTATGAGGGGATACCAAAAGAGCTTCACATTAGTCACAGTATTTTCTTTTTAAAATATCCAGATCTTGTATTGCAAAGAAAAAAATTAGTAATAGTGGCACAAAGAACATACATGAACCTCCTTTTACATTAGTTATTTGAAATAAATATCTTAGTGTATAATAAAAAAATTGAGGAAATAGTATTGTAGCTCAAGTGGTAGAACATTACCTTTGAGCAAAAAAGCTTAAGGACAGAGCCCAAGTCCTGAGTTCAAGACCCACAGCCAGTAACAACAACAACAATAACAACAGAAAGTTTTAAAATTTCAGACCCAAGAGGCTGGGAATGTGGCTTAGTGGTGGAGTGCTTGCTTACAATTCATGAAGCCCTGGATTTGATTCCTCATTACCACATAAATAGAAAAAGCCAGAAGTGGCACTGTGGCTCAAGTGACAGAGTACTAGCCTTGAGCAAAGAAAAGCTCAGGGATAGTGCCCAGGCCCTGAATTCAAGACCCAGAACCAGGGGGGGGGGGGGGGGGGGGGAGGGGGGAAGGGGGAGGGGAAGGGGGAGACTCAGAGCTGAGACAAAGATGACACAATATTAAGAAATAATGCCCAGATGCCAGTGACTCATAGTAGTTACTTAGGAGGCTGAGATCTGAGGATCAAGGTTCAAAAAGGAAACCCCTCCAATTAACTACCAAAACACAGCTGGAAGTAAAGCTGTGGCTCAAGTGATAACCTTGAGCAAAAAAGTTCAGGGATGGGGCCAGGCCCTGTGTTCAAGCTCCAGGATTGGCGGAATAAAGGAAAGAAGGAAAAGGAAGGAGAAGAGGAAGGAAAAGGAAAGTAAATGAGAGGAGAGGGGAGGGGAGGGGACGAAAGAAAAAACAGAAGAAAAATAATAAGCTGTGTGGAAGTATATAATATATGTGCAATTGAAATCTTGTTATTGTTAAACTGGGTACTAGTGGCTCATGCCTGTGATACTAGTTATTCAGAAGGCTGAGATCTGAAGAGTGTGGTTTGAAGCCATCTGGGGCAGACCAATGTATGAGACTCTTATCTTCAATTAACTAGCAAAAGCCAGGCTGGCTGGTTGTGTGATTCAATTGGTAGAGTGACAACCATGTTAATAAGCAAGCAGAGCAAGCTTGAAGCCCTGAGTTGGAGCCCCAATACCAGAAAACACACACACACACACACACACACACACAGATAAGTGGGGGTGTGTAGCTTGTTGACAGTTTAAATATGTATAGGAGTAGGGATACTTATGTTCACCATCTTAATTATGGTAAATAGTGTAGGTGTCAAAATAAAATTAAGCCCAGGCAAGGTGGCTGGTACATGCCCGAAATTTGAGTACTCCAGAGGCAGAGGGATCAAGGCCAGCCTAGGCTACAAAACAAGACCCTATCTCAGGGAAACCAAAACAAAATAATAATAACAAATGTACATTTTATATAAGTATATTTTATTACATGTCAATTATTCCTCAATAAGACTTTTTAAAAACAAAATTAAGGAAAACTGTCTAGAATTAGGGATGAAGGAGAAAATTCTACATGATTTAGAACAAGCAGTCCAAAGGCATGTCAATCTAGGTTTTTCATAACAAAATATCACAAACGAGATGGCTTATAAACAGCACAAAGTTCTCCCTCATAATTGTAGAGGGTGGGATAATCAAGAACCAGCAAAGTTCAAGTCTGGTGAGGAACAACTTCCTGATTTATAGAATTATCTATCCTTGCAGAGCAGAGGCTGTAAAAAGTCTAAGGTTTTTTCTTTATAAGGACACTTAATCTTATTCAAGAGGCACTTATGATTAGCCCCCAGTGACCTAATCACTTCTCAAAGGCTTAATATCTTAATCATTACCGTGGATTTTGGATTTCAACACTGAATTTGGGGAAGACACAAACATTCAGACTATAGCAGGCAAGTTAGAAAAGGAAGTAGGAAAGAGTATAATTCATCACCCAGTGGCCAACAATAAAATCTAAGAAATTTTGGAGCAAGATATTATGTTTTGTGTAATATAAACAGTTTCCTAGACTTCCCCAGAGAATTCTTCAGTGAAATTTGTTATATTTTTAGTACTTTAAGTAGGAACAGATGTGTCTTTGGAGTACTCAAAGAAAAGAATGAGAGCACAGAAGTTATTATTATTAAATGGAGTTAATTTTTAAAATAAATCCTTACCCTAATAAATGCAGATAAAATTATCTTCCCTCAAATATTTAGGGAATCATTGATAACATTTCTCTGTTTAGTAGGATTTAAAGATAACAGATAAAGCCAGTACTCACACCTGTAACTTCAGCACATGAGAGGCTGAAGGTGAAAAATCTCCAGATTCAGGCTGGACTGGACTACATACTAAAATCCGGTCTCAAAAAGGAGTAGGGAGTTCAGCGCCAGTGGCTCAAGCCAGTAATCCTAGATATACAGGAAGCTGAGATCTGGGGCTGGGAAGGTGGCTCAGTGGTAGAGCGCTTGCCTTGCATGCTCAAGGCCCTGGGTTCAATTCCTCAGCACCACATAAGCAAAAAGAAAAAAGCCGGAAGTGGCTCTGTGGCTCAAGTGGTAGAGCACTAGCCTTGAGCTGAAGAGCTGAGGGACAGTGCCCAGGCACAGAGTTCAGGCCCCACGACTGGACCCAAAAAAAAAAAAAAAAAAGGAAGCTGAGATCTGAAGATGACAGTTTGAAGCCAGCCTGAGCAAGAAAGTCCATGAGACTCATCTCCAATTAACCACCAAAAATCCCAAAGTGGAGCTATGGCTCAAATGACAAATGCCAGTCTTCAGCAAATAAACTCAGGGACAGTGCCCCAACAACAAACTAAAATAAAATAAAATAAATATGGAATGGAATGATGCAATTTAAATGAACACGAAGTCTCAACTTCTTCTGAGTATAGATAATTCACCTAACAAAATTAATTTCTGAAGTTAAAAGTAAAACCATTAAAAATAACCTTGCCTGGCGCTGGTGGCTCCCGCCTATAATCCTAGCTATGCAGGAGGCTGAGAGCTGAGGATCACGGTTCAAAGCCAGCCCGGGCAGGAAAGTCTGTGAGACTCTTACCTCCAATAAACCACTAGAAAACTGGAAGTGGCACTGTGGCTCAAGAGGTAGAGTGCTCGCCTTGAGCTGAAGAACTGAAGAGCACAGGGACAGCGCCCAAGCCCAGAGTTCAAGCCCCACAACTAACCAAACCCCCCCCCCCAAAAAAATAATAACCTTTTGCTCTACGAACATGAAGTGAACTTTGGGGTTTTTTTGTGACATATGGAAAGAATAGACTATATATAGAGTATGTATGCCATTAGACCTTAAAAGAATAAAAACTTTGCTGAAATATAATTTGTATTCCAAAAAATTAATATTTTAAAAGTGTGCAACTTAGCTGAGTACCAGTGGCTCACACCAGTAATCCTACTCAGGAGACTGAGATCTGAGAATCATGGTTCAAAGCTAGTCCAGGCAGGAAAGTCTAAACACCAAAAGGCTAGAAATGGAGCTGTACCACACGTGATAGAGCATACCTAGCCTTGAGCAAAAAGCTTAGGGACAGCACCTAGACCCTGAATTCAAACCTGAGGACCAGCACACACAGATAGACACATAGGTAGGTGCACGCATGCATGCAGACACACACACACACACACACACACACACACACACACACACGCATACTAAGTGTACAACTTAGTGATGTTTAGTGTTCTTAAGAGTATGTAATAACCATTATCAGTTCCTGCACATTTTCATCAATCCAGAAACAAATCTTTATATTTACATTGGCAGTCACTAATGTCATTAATGGAGTTTTTCTGTCCCCAAGTCTCTGGCAGCCACTAATCTGTTATATTATGGCATTAACTGTCTAATCCAAAATTTTCATATAATTTGGATAGACCTACTGTGACTAGTAGCAATTGCCCAGCAAAATGTTTTGAAGGTGGTAGCATGTGGTATCACCATGTGGTACTACCATGTGGCAGTATGAATCAGCACTTTATTCCCTTTTTTGTAGAGCAATAGTCCATTGTATATTTTATTTATTGGACTGGGAAGGTAGCTTAGTGGTAGAGTACCTGTCAAGCATGAAGGAAGCCCTGGGTTCGATTCCTTAGTATCACATAATCAGAAAAGGCCAGAAGAGGTACTGTAGCTCTAGTGGTAGAACACTAGTCTTGAGCAGAGAAAGGCTCAGAGACAGAGCCTAGGACCTAAGTTCAAAACCCACGACTGGCAAAAAAATAAAATAAAATAAAATAAAAATTTTATTTTTCCATGAATCATCCATTAATGGAATGAGGGATATTTCTACTTCTATTCTGCCATTTAAAAAAATTCTCTATGTGGACTGGGAAGGTGGCTCAGTGGTAGAGCGCTTGCCTTGCAATGCATGAGGCCCTGGGTTCGATTCCCTAGCACCACATAAGCAAAAAGAAAAAAGCCGGAAGTGGCGCTGTGGCTCAAGTGGTAGAGGGCTAGCCTTGAGCTGAAGAGCTGAGGGACAGCACCCAGGCCCAGAGTTCAGGCCCCACAACGGACCCAAAAAAAAAAAAAAAAAAAATTCTCTATGTATAACTTTATCTTGGGTATATACTTAAGAGTGAAATCATTTTTAAATATGGTAACTACATATTTAACAGTTTGAGTAAATGCCAAATTGCTGAAGTGTGAAATAGTAGCTGCATTGTTTTACATACCCATCAGCAATATATGAGGGCTGTCATTTACTTTTTACGTTTTATTTTTTTGTCTGTCAGTTGCTGGGTGCTGTGCCTGAGCCTCTTTGTGCTCAAGGCTAGCACTTTACCACTTGAGCCACAGTGCCGCTTCTGGGTTTTGAGTGGTTAATTGAAGATGAGTTTCACGGGGACTTTTTTGCGTGAGCCGGCTTCAAACCACAATCCTCAGATCTCAACCTCCTGAATAGCTAGGATTACAGGTATGAGCCACTGGCACCCAGCAAGGGCTGTCATTTTTGTTTGTTTGTTTGTTTGTTTTTGGGTCCGGTCATGGGGCCTGAACTCTGGGCCTGGGCTCTGTCCCTCAGCTCTTCAGCTCAAGGCTAGCGCTCTACCACTTGAGCCACAGCGCCACTTCTGGCTTTTTTTCTTTTTGCTTATGTGGTGCTAAGGAATCGAACCCAGGGCCTCATGCGTGCAAGACTAGCACTCTACCACTGAGCCACCTTCCCAGCCCCAAGGGCTGTCATTTTTTTTTTTTTTTAAAGCAGCTTAAGGACTCAATCAAGAATGTTTTATTTTTATTTATTTATTTATTTTTGCTTATGTGGTGCTGAGGAATCGAACCCAGGGCCTCTGGCATGCAAGGCAAGCGCTCTACCACTGAGCCACCTTCCCAGCCCCAGGGCTGTCATTTTTATACATGCTTTGTCAACACTTGTTATTAACTTTTAAATTTAGTGGTTATGATATAGCAAGCCATAATAATTTCAGTTTACATTTCTCTATAATGTGTTTCTCAAAACTAAGTTTTCCTAGAGCAAAATAGTAATATGTGGTCTAATATGACTCATATCAATCATTCAACAAATGTTTCTAAAGAGAATCCATGTGGGATCAGCTTATTCAAGCATGTTGATCTTTTTTTTTTTTTTTTTTTTAAGTACTCGCTAGCCACTTGAATGTCTTCTTTTTCTTCTTTTTTTTTCCCCCTTGGTGGTACTGTGGTTTGAACTCAGGGCCTGTACATTCTTGGAAGGCACTCTACTACTTAAGCCATACCTCCAACCCTTTTTTATTTTCGTTGTTTTTTAAGAGGTAGTTTCTACCTATACCACCCACATAAATAGGAATTACAGATCTGCTCCACCATGCCCAGTTTGATTGTTGAGATTGGGTCTTTAGGCTAACTTTTTAACCTAGGCTTCCCTCAAACCTTAATTTTCCCAAATACCTGGGAAGTGGCTTGGATTACAGGCAGATGCCACCATACCCAGCCTTTCTATCAAATATTTTCTTTGGAAAAATACTAATTCAAATATTTTGTCTATCAACAGATTTTTGAAATCAAATTATTTTGCAAACAAATAATACTACTGTCATCTTGAGATAATAAAAATACTTACATTTTGCTTTTTCTTCATCTCTGCCTCTTGTAAGGAGGACTAGTCCAACTATTAAATTATTGAAATGTAGCCCTTTGGGTGTTCCACCAAAAGAACAATAAATCACCTAGAAAAAAATGATGAAACCAACTTTAGAAAACGCTGAGAAATCTGAAGTACATATTACCGTTAACAAATCTAATTTCTATCTCCAGACACAGCTCTGGTAAGTTTTATGAAATAATGTTTAAGTTTCTCCCTCTTATGGCTCTTTTGCAACTTGCTGGTACACTCAGCCATGAATAGAATATTCATCAGTTTTAACATTCATATATTACAGGTTGACACATCTGAGTGGTTTTTTTATTTTTTTTTATTTTTTGCCAGTCCTGGGGCTTGAACTAAGGGCCTGGGCGCTGTCCCTGAGCTTCTTTTGCTCCAGGCTAGCACTCTACCACTTGAGCCACAGCACCACTTCTGTCTTTTTCTGTTTATGTGATACTAAGAAATCAAACCCAGGGCTTCATGCATGCTAAGCAAGCAATCTACCACTAAGCCACCTTCCCAGCCCTGTTTAGTCCTTCTCTTTAGAGTACTTACCAAAGTCCAAAAGTATAAAGGTCTTTACTCAATAGCTATTATAATGTGATAAGAATTCTATGCAATTATGGAAGTGAACCTCAGTAAAAACTTACATATCTTATTTTGGCTGTAAAGAAATTCTCTAATTGAATGTTCAGAGATATAAAGAAGCCATAAGAAATTTCTTTTATACTCTCAGGGTATTAAAATAATTAGAAAAACAATAACTGCACATAATATCACTATACATAAAAACAATATCAGCAATCATTATAATTTCATTTACTCATTCAGCAATTCTTTGTTGAATTCTTTGAGTTGCAAATATCTTCTATGCAGTTTTTGTTTGCTTGTGACAGGGTCTAGCTTTATAGTCAAGACTGGACTCTAATTGGCGATCTTTCTGTCCCTTCTTCTCAAATACCAGAATGACAGGTGTACTTTCCATGGCATTCAACTTATAAATATAGGATGATCAAGAATTCAAAGTCGGGCGCCAGTGGCTCATGCCTGTAATCCTAGTTACTCAGGAGGCTGAGATCTGAGGATCACGGTTCAAAGCCAGCCTGGGCAGGAAAGTCCATGAGACTCTTTTTTTTTTTTTTGGGGGGTCCGGTCGTGGGGCCTGAACTCTGGCCTGGGCGCTGTCCTTCAGCTCTTCAGCTCAAGGCTAGCACTCTACCACTTGAGCCACAGCGCCACTTCCGGCTTTTTTCTTTTTGCTTATGTGGTGCTGAGGAATCGAACCCAGGGCCTCGAGCATGCAAGGCAAGCGCTCTACCACTGAGCCACCTTCCCAGCCCCATGAGACTCTTATCTCCAATAAACCACTAGAAAACTGGAAGTGGCGCTGTGGCTCAAGTGGTAGAGCGCTAGCCTTGAGCTGAAGAGTTGAGGGACAGAGCCCAGGCCCAGAGTTCAAGCCCCACGACCGGACCAAAAAAAAAAAAGAATTCAAGATAAGTCAGTATGTGTGTGGTCAGAGGACCTCTCTGAGATTAGTACCAGTCAGATGTTGAAAAGTCAAAAGCAGGAGCTGGGAAGGTGGCTCAGTGGTAGAATGCTTGCCTTGCATGCATGAGGCCCTGGGTTCGATTCCTCAGCACCACATAAGCAAAAAGAAAAAAGATGGGAGTGGCGCTGTGGCTCAAGTAGTAGAGTGCTAGTCTTGAGCTGAAGAACTGAGGGACAGCGCCCAGGCCCAAAGTTCAGGGCCCATGACTAGAATTCCCCCCCCCCCCAAAAAAAAAGAAAGTTAAGAGCAGACAGATTTTAGAAATTTTATTTAGCAAAGTGCTTCCATTCTATAACTCTCCAAAAAAAAAAAAAAGGAACTGTAAATTGGAATTTGAAGCCTGAGGTTGTTACAAAGAGGGTAACCATAGCAGCAAGACCACAACACAACTCAAATGCAGACCAGATTGACTCGACTTCCCATTCGAAAGATACCTCAGCTCAATCTCTTCTGTGCTATGCAAAACACTTATCCTTCAACAACAAATCTAGATTACAGAAAGCAGGAAGGGGAAAATATCTCAAGATATTGTCAGAGACAAAAGAAAAACATAGCAATAGAGTTTTAAAATGGCTCCATAGCAAACTGAATGGAGTCTAACTAAGACATCCAAAATGTAAAAAAAAAAAATGTAAAAAATATGCAGGGAACAAAGGATGTACAGGACAAAAAAAGGAAAAAAAAACACCCAAGAACTATGGAATATACTAATAATTCAACATACATGTGGGCTGCAGGCATTACTCAAGCCCCTGGTTAGCATGTGTAAGGAGCTAGGTTAAATCCTTAGTGCTTAAAAAGAAAAAGTGACGCTGGGCGCTGGTGGCTCACGCCTGTAATCCTAGCTACTCAGGAGGCTGAGATCTGAGGATTGCGGTTCAAAGCCAGCCCAGGCAGGAGAGACCGTGAGACTCCTATCTCCAATAAAACCACCAGAAAACCGGAAGTGGCCCTGTAGCTCAAGTGGTAGAGCGCTCGCCTTGAGCTGAAGAGCTGAGGGACAGTGCCCAGGCCCAGAGTTCAAGCCCCATAACCGACAAAAAAAAAAAAAAGTGGCATACGTGCAATTGAAATCTTGTAAGAACATGAGAAATAGGGTAGAAGAAAAAGTATTAGGAATTTTTCCAAAACTTTTATGAAAACAAGTTATGAAGAAGCTTAGAGAACGGGAGCTTCCTTGACACCTGGACAAATACAACTAGACAAATCATACTCGAACTACTCAAAAACCAAAGGTGAGATGAAAATCTTTACAGCAGCAAGAAAGAAATAGATTTGCAGCAAATTTCTCACAAAAGCTACATTAAGCCCCAAGTCAATAAAAGGACACACTTAAAGTACTAAACAATAAAAACTTAACTGAGGTCTCTCCATTTGGTAAAAGTAACTTTCGAAAAGAAAAAAAAGTTAACTTTTTAAGGGAACAAAGATATCATTACAGGATGAAAGAAATATAATGAGGGCTGGGAAGGTGGCTCAGTGGTAGAGCACTTGCCTTGCATGCCAGAGGCCCTGGGTTCGATTCCTCAGCACCACATAAGCAAAAAGAAAAAAGCCGGAAGTGGCGCTGTGGCTCAAGTGGTAGAGTGCTAGCCTTGAGCTAAAGAGCTGAGGGACAGCGCCCAGGCCCAGAGTTCAGGCCCCATGACCGGACCCCCAAAAAAAACCCAAACAAACAAGAAATATAATGACACAGAGGTAGAAGTGCCTCCATAAATAAGAGAATTGGAAATGGCATGAAGATAGCAAAGTATACAATTATTCTTTTTTTTTAAGTACTGGGATTTGAACTCAGGGCCTGTACTTGCTAAGCAGGAGTTGTATTAGTTGGCCACACCTCCAGCCCCTTTTGCTTTCATTATTTTTTCAGAAGGTATCACTTTTTGCTTAGGCTAGTAGGCTGCAATCATCCTATTTAGACTTCCCATGCAGCTGGGATGACAAGCACTTGCCACTATAGCCAGCTTTTTATTAGTTAAGATGGGGATATTGCCAGGCATTGGTGGCTCACGCCTGTAATCCTAGCTATTCAGGAGGTTGAGATCTAAGGATCATAATTTGAAGTTGTGATCCTCAGACACGTTTTTTGGGTTTTTTGTTGTTGTTGGTCGTGGGCTTGAACTCTGGGCCTGGGTGCTGTCCCTGCGCTCTTCAGCTCAAGGTGAGTGCTCTACAGCTTGAGCCATAGCACCACTTTCGGTTTTCTAGTAGTTTATTGGAGATAAGAGTCTCACGGAGTTTCCTGCCTGGGCTGGCTTTGAACCATGATCCACAGATCTCAGCCTCCTGAGTAGCTAGGATTACAGGCGTGAGCCACTGGCGCCCGTTGGCCGTGATATTCTTATTTCCAATTATCCACCAGAAAACGAGACGTGGCACTGTGGCTCAAAGTGGCAGAAACTTTTTGTTTGAGCTGGCACCAAACCACAATCTTACTGATATCAGCCTTCTAAGTAGGCAGTATTATAGGAATGAGCCATGGCAACCAGCTTATTTTCTTATATTTAATTGCCCTAAAATGTAACTGGTCACATTGTTACTTTAGAATGACAACAGAAATGTAGCATGTGTTTATAGAATATGTAAAACATATGGTAGCAATAAATACAGTATGGAAGAAAAGAAATGGAGTACAATTTTGTATTCTAGACATTCATGTTTAACATGCCATTAAATGGTACATCAATTCTAGTACAGTACTGGTCGAGCAGCCCTAATTAAAAATTCTGAACATTTTGATGGTTGACATGATACCTCAAAGAGAAAATTCCACACTTGACCCTGTCAGGTAACAGTCAAAACACAGTGCACAAAAAATACTGTATAAAATTGCCTTCAAACTATGCATATAACATCTATATCAGTGAATTTTATACTTAGCTTCTGATCCCATCCACAAGACACTTTTAGTTTGCTTTTTTTTTTTTTTTTTTCAGATAGGGTCTCTATCTTTTATTCAAGCCAACCTCTGATTGCTACTTTCAAAGTAGCTGGGAGCTGGGATTATAGCCATGTGTCACCATGCCCAGCTCTGCTATTTCTTTTGAAATAAATTCAAAAATGTATGGACCTTTATGTATTCTCCTCCTGCCTCCGGTTATTTGGTATTTGTGTCTTTAGAAAACCTAGGTATTGAAACTAGTAGTAAGGCAAAAATATTAAAATATTTTATATTTTATAAAATATTATATTTTATATCAATATAAAAAAGTCCTAGCCGGGCTCCAGTGGCTCACTACTGTAATCCTAGCTACTCCGGAGGCTGAGATCTGAGGATCATCATTCAAAGCCAGCCCAGGCAGCAAAGTCCTGAGACTCTTATCTCCAATTAACCACCAGAAAACCGAAAGTGATGCTGTGGCTCAAGTGGTAGAGAGCTAACCTTGAGCTGAAGAGCTGAGCAACAGTGCCCAGGCTCAGAGTGTAAGCCCCATGACCACCAACAACAACAAAAAAATCCTAAGATTCTTGGGCTGGGAAGATGGCTCAGTGGTAGAGCGCTTGCCTTGCATGCACAAGGCCCTGGGTTTGATTCCTCAGCACCACATAAGCATTAAAAAAAAAAAAGCCAGAAGTGGCGCTTGGCTCAAGTGGTAGAGCGCTAGCCTTGAGCTGAAGAGCTGAGGGACAGCACCCAGGCCCAGAGTTCAGGCCCAAGACAAGACCCAAAAAAAATAAAATCCTAAGATTCTTTTTGTGGTATATTTACTCAAGTACTGATTATTTGCTTTACATTTATTTTTTTATCAAAATATAGTTATAAAAAAAATATAGGAAGGCTATGCACTGATATCTCACACCTGTAATTCCAGTTACTCAGGAGGCTGAGATCTCAAGATTTTAAGATCTTGGTTCAAAGCCAGCCTGGGCTGACAAATCCAAAAGGCTCATCTCTGAGTACAGCAAAAAGTCAGAAGTGGAAATGAGGCTCAAGTGGTAAAGTACCAGCCTTAAGAGGAAAAAGCTAAGCAAGAACAAAAGGACCTAAGTTCAAGTTCCAGTAAGGGCATTAAAAAATAAAAGCCAGGTACCAGTGGCTCATGCCTGTAATCTTAGCCAGGAGGCTGAGATTTGAGGATTGTGGCTCCAAGCCATCCTAGGCAGGGAAGTCTGTGAGACTCTTACCTCAAATTTAACCACCAAAAACCCCAGAATTGGTGTCCTGGCTCAAAGTTGTAGAGTGCAAGCCTTGAGCAAAAGAGCGCAGACAGCACCCAAGGCCCTGAGTTAAAGCCCCACCACTGACTAAAAAAAATAAAAAAAGAAAAGAAAGACTATAGAGACATCTCCTACTTTGCCCAATTTCTTCACAATGTAACATTTTGCTGATGCAAAGGACAACCAGGATATTATCTTTGATAAAATCTCATTAAACTTTCTCTAGGTTCAATTGTGTTGATTTGAGTTTGTATGTGTATATATTCATTAACTTTTGTACAATTCTAGAAACTTAGTAGATTCATGTATCCATCTCCGTAAGTCATTAAAGCTTAATAGTCTGATAACATCCAATTCATAATTTTTCAATTAACATATAAATCTACAGCCTTTTAGAGTTATCTTGCATAAATAGAGATGATTCTCAAAGGTTCTGGGTTCCATTTTAGCATGGCAAAAGAAATAATAAACCAAAACAATACTTCACAGAAACCTAGAGATGATGGCATATGCCTATAGTCCCAATACTAAGGAGTATTGAGGCAGGGGGACTAAGAGCTTAATCTAATTCTTGTCTCTTTTTTTTGGTGGGACTATGGCTTGAATTCAGGGCTTCACACTTCCTAGATAGGTGCTATACCACTTGAGCCATGCCTCTAATCCTTTTCTGCTTTTAGTAGTTTTTTTTTTTTTTGGGTCCGGTTGTGGGTCCTGAAATCTGGGCGTGGGCGCTGTCCCTCAGCTCTTCAGCTCAAGGCTAGCGCTCCACCACTTGAGCCACAGCACCACTTCCGGCTTTTTTCTTTTTGCTTATGTGGTGCTGAGGAATCAAACCCAGGGCCTCAGGCATGCAAGGCAAGCGCTCTACCACTGAGCCACCTGTCCAGCCCATGCTTTCAGTAGTTTTTCAGGGAGAATCTCACATTTTAGACTGGCTTCAGTCTAAAATCTTAACACATCCTGAGTAGCTGGGATTACAGGCAAGAGCCACCATACTTGGCCTTTGTTTTTTTTTTTAATACATCTTTATATATTTTTATCTTTTCATTTCATGTAGGAATGTTCTGTACTGAAACCATGTTTTATAAGTGATTACTTCATTCCCACACTTGCCCCCATATTTACTTAGCTCATAATACAAATGAAAAGAAATGCAATAACTTCTTTGTACAACTGCCTAATAAAAAAGGAAAATAAATGTATATAGTCACATTAGTATGCTTTTAAATTATCTTATAATTGTTATTGTTAATTGCTTAGTATTTTCATTGCCCTTTTTTTTTTTTTTTTTGGGTCGGTCATGGGGCCTGAACTCTAGGCCTGGGCGCTGTCCCTCAGCTGTTCAGCTCAAGGCTAGCGCTCTACCACTTGAGCCATAGCACCACTTCCAGCTTTTTCCTTTTTGCTTACGTGGTGCTAAGGAATCGAACCCAGGGCCTCGTGCATGCAAGGCAAGCGCTCTACCACTGAGCCACCTTCACAGCCCCGTACTTAGTATTTTCATTGCATAATTCTGGAGGTTAGTTAGGGAAAATCTGATTCTTATTAAAAATGCATTCTATACTTTAAAGTCTTTGAATAAAGTAAACTTATCAAGCCTATAATCTTAGCTACTCAGGAGGCTGGGAACTGAGGATCATGGTTCAAAGAACCAGGCAAGAAAATCTATGAGACTCTTATTTCCAATAAACTACTCAAAAAAAAAAAAAACAGGCCAGACGTGGCACTTTGGCTCAAGTGACAGAGCACTAGCCTCGAGCAAAAGAAATTCAGAGACAGGGCCTAGGCCCTGAATTCATGGCCCAGACTGGGGAAAAAACAAAAACAAAAAATAAAAAAACTAATATGAGAGAAGAGATCTGGGAATGTGGCTTAGTGGTAGAGTGCTTGCCTAGCATGCATAAAGCCCTGGGTTCAATTCCTTAGTACCACATAAACAGAAAAAGCCAGAAGTTGCTCTGTGACTCAAGTGGTAGAGTGCTAGCCTTGAGCAAAAGAAGCTCAAAAACAATTTCCAGGCCCTAAGGTCAAGCCCCAGGACTGGCAAAAGAGAAAGAGAGAGAGGTGAGAGAGAGGAGAGAAGAAAGAGAGAAAGAGAAAGAGAGGAGAGTGGGGGGGGAGAGAGAGAGAGAGAGAGAGAGAAGAGAAGAGAGAAGATACAAGATAGAAGTACACACTAGAAGTACAGCACATACAAAAGCCTGAACAAAACTCATTCTACTTATATACTGAAATTTCTGAGACTAACATATTGTGCAAATAACTATGTTGCCTTCTCATGAGCTGCTTAAAGATTTGAAAAACAAACAATAAATAATCAAATAAAAAGACAGATTAAAAAATATCAAAATCATTCATGTATCTGTGAGTCAGGTATCATATCGTTGTTTCTTAATAACTGCAAGGACCTGTAGGTTATTTAAAAGGCTGCTTTTGGGTTAAGATTTGGTTTTTGCTGTATAATCAGTCTGGCTTATCTAGTTCTATGAGGTCATAGGTAGGACAGGATGAATGAGCTTTGTATAGGTCAGACCTCAAGTGACTCACTTTGTTTGCTTGGTCCCACTGACCTTCAAGGGAATAGAAAAATGTTCTAGTGCCTTCTACTTTTGTATTTTAAAACTAAGAAAATGTAGATTTTCCATGGTATTTAGAATCAAAATCATTGACTAAATTCTTCCCTCCTCTGAAAAGTGATTTAACAATTTAATATTACACCTACGTAGCCAATTTTATAGTATTTGCACACCTCTTTCTCACTATACTGTCTTGAAATTTAACCACCAAAAAAGCTGAAAGTACAACTGTGGCTCATGTGGTAGAGAACTAGCCTTGAGCAAAAGAGCTCAGGCCCTAAATGCAAGCCCTAGGACCAGCACAAATATAAATAAATGTGCGTGCGTGCGTGCGTGTGTGTATACTGTTGTTAACAAATCAGCAAGAAAAATAATTGCAAGGAAGATTAAAATTGGTAAGAACAGGAGATTCCCTCTTTTTTTCAGAAGTAAAAAATTTTAACTAAAATGTAAAAATTAACACAAAAACATTAAAAGTACGGTGAAAAAAAAATTACTTTAAAAAGAGAATCCAGGTAGCTAAATAGCTATCTGGAGGAAAAACCTAGGACATCAAGATTACCTCAGCAACCTTTGGAGGTACTCCATCCCCAAGTACTTCCCTGATGAAGCAGGTCTGGCCCATGTAATATGAGAGTCCACAGGTCCTCTTGAAGGCATCTTTAAGTCGCTTCAGCTCTACATCTGTAACTACAATTCAAAAATAGAAGATGGATAAGAAATCAGAAAAGGATGTCTCACAAAATTCAGTTCCTAAAGGAGCAGGGCATGGTAGGAATAAGACATGGTGGTACATGCCTGTAATCCCAGCAATGGAAGCTGGAGTTAGTAGGTCAGCCTAAGATACACAGCTAAATGTAAGTCAGTCTGGGCTACAAATACAGTAACGCTGTCTCTCAAAAAAAAGAAAGAAAAAAAAACAACTCCTACAGTTAAGCAAAACATACCCCAATGGTAGTCATAATCCTAACATTCTCAAATCTACTCTAGAAAATCAGTCTTTTTCAAAAGAAAAAACTTTAAAAGATGCATACAAATTTTAGGCAGGAGAAAGAAAGAAGTAACAAAACATTTCAAAATGCTAAATAGCATTTGATTCAAGCATATATATGTATATATATATATGTATATAAATGTATATCATTTTTAGACACCCAATATCTAAACCAAACAAAAAAAGATCCTTTAATTTAGTCATGTGAGACTTTTTTCACTTTATATCATGTCTACAAAGAGAGAGAAATGAATACCCTTCAATATTTAATAAAACTATCAGAATGGAGAAACAGAAATGGTTTCCTTGACCATGCTGGAGGAAACAGAGAAGACTTCTGTTTGGATCTAGAGAAAGATTACATTAAATTTTAAAGACTAAGCCAAGTAAAAGTGAGGAGAGTGAGCATACCAAGTGGTGATAATACTTTGCTTCAAGTACAATATGGCCATACACTGTAAGTTACGCTAGCAAAATAAAAGGTAGAAGACCAAGTCACAATGACTCTGTTCTATAAGGAAAGAATAAATTAATTATAAATAACTGAGACATAAACTCTAAGCAGATTGGAAACACACCAGATAAAATTAAATCAGTTCACTCTAAAACGATGTAGAAGAGAGAACAAACCTGGAAGCAAAATGTAGACTGCTACTATAAGAAAAGGAGCTAAATCTGGAAGCCAGCCAAAAGGAAAAGTCAGCAGAACTTGATGCTTGACTGAGATAGAGCAGTACAGAACAATATCCATACTTCTATCCTAGAAAATTCAAAGGATGGTGTTATCATCCACACAGAAACATGAGGATGGGGGGAGAGAAAGGGAAAAAGGGAAGGAAGGAAGGAGGAAGGGTAAGAAGGGAAGGAGGGAAGGAGGGAAAAGAGAAGGAAAGGAGTGATAGAAGGAAGAAAATGGAAGAATGAAAGTAAAAATGGAAGGAAGGAAAAGAGAAGAGAAGGAAAGAATGAAAGGAAAAAGAAAAAGGAGAAAGAAAAAGACAACCCTATTAAGGACCTATTCAATATGGGAATTTTAGGGAGATACTTTGGGTTTTTAATTTTTGTATAAAGCTTAGGAGAGGTTTGATGAGAGTTATCATTACAAAGGTGTTAATTAAAACTGAATAAATATAATGAAACCTACTAAAGACCATTTTAAAAGGGGGTAGAGAGAAAGAAAGGATAGTTAAGAAAAGAATAATAGAAGTAACAGTTAAAAAAGAGTAATAGAAAGACTAAAGTATTTATCTTGCCCATGTAATTGTAACCCCTCTGTACAGTATTTTCACAATAAAAAAAGACTAAAGTACATTATATGCATGTATGAAAATGCCACAAAGAAAGCATTTTGTACAATTAATTTATATAGAATTAAAATAAAATTATGAATAAAAAAGAGAAAAGAAAGAAAAAAAGAAACAAGGAAAATTCTTAAGACTAGTCAGTAGGATATAGGAGAGAAATAAAAGCAGAGTAAAATAAAAACATTGATTTACAGTCTCAAGTAACACAGAACACAGAAAGGACCAGAAAGATAAAAGGACTGAAATGCCTAGTGCATATATAAACAATATGTGGGGCAAGGATTTTTAAAACCTAATAGTTAAAAGTATGATTATTAGTGGCTAAATCTTATTAAAACTGCACTTATAATATTAACATCTTCAATATAGTAATTTTATACATACTCTTTTTAGAATGTGAAAATGAAAAACAAGACAAAGTTCATCTCATAAACTGCAATAAAGAAAGATAACTTTAGCTACTAGAATATCTAGTTCTTCAAGATAGCTAACCTGTATTGATGGCTTTAATAACACATTAGGTTGCTTCTGATCTACAGGAGAACAGAAAATCAGTCATTAGAATTTAATATGGCAATCCTCTCCACTGTTGGTTAAACATCATCTGAAAAAAAAAAATTTTAAATAGTACACTAGGGCTTGGAATATAACTTTGTGATAGGCTGGCCTAGTATGCTCAGAGCCCCGGTTTCAATTCTTAGTATGATGATCAATACATTGATGACCAATACAATTATTCATTTTACTCATTTGTAATAGAGGTAAATATACACATACAAAAGTTTTGAGTTTTTTTTGGCAGTCCTGGTGTTTAAACTCAGGACCCCAAGGCTTACTTGTCAGGTGCTCTCCTGTTAAACCATGTTTCCAACCCATTTTTGCACAAATTGAGATCGAATTTTGGGAGAGGTTGTTGTGTTGTGTTGTTTTGCTTTGTTTTGTTTTGTATCTTTAGGTAGTTTCACAAAGGGACATGTCAAGTTATGAGTACAATGTATATTGATCAGTGCCACTCCTTCCATCCTCTTCTCCACTCCCTCATTGCCCTTTTCCATTTTCTCAGGTGTACATTGAGTATTATGACTGCATTCACTCACAATTCCTTTCTCAATTCATCTACTTGCTCTGCCCTTAATTCTCACTTCCCTAACAACACGTTTCAACTCCCTGCTTTTCATTTTGTTAAAATTGTGAGTTAAGCTATACTTTTTTGAATAATTTACACCTCTATGTACATCATTTTTAGTCAGTTTGATTGTATGTATGTGGCCCTGAATGTTTTTATATGATTATATTTTATATTTTATTTCCACATGAGCTTTCTCTTTGAGCTTGACTTATTTAACATAATTTATCCAGGTCCATCCATTTTTCCTGGAAATGACATACACATACACACTCATAATCACATCACATTTTCTTGACCCATTCATCTGTTGTAAAGCAATCTCAGCTGTTTCCATAACCTAGTTATGATGCGTTGTGCAGCAATGAACATGAGTGTCTAAGTGTCTTTGTTATATCTTAACTTGTAATCTTTTGGATAAATGCCCAAGAATGGTATCACTGGATCATAGGGTATTCTATTTTTAGTTTTAGTTTTGTGTGCAGGTCCTGATGTTTGAACTCAGGGACTGGGTGCTGTCCCTAAGCTTCTTTTGCTCAAGACTAGCATTCTAGCACTTGAGCCACAGCTCCACTTCTGGTTTTTTGGTTTTTATTGTAGTTAACTGGAGATAAGTCCCATGGACTATCTTGCCCAGGTTAGGATTACAGGTATGAGCCACTACACCCAGCTATTTTTAGTTTTTTGAGGTATCTTCAAACTACCTTCCATAGTAGTCATACTAATTTATATTTCCACTAACAGTGTAATAGGGTTCCTTACTTACATACACATATTCTGGCCAGCACTTGTTCATATTCTTGATGATGGCCAATCTTACTGGAATAAGAGACTTCTTCAGAGAAATGTTTATTTAGTTCCTTTGACCATTTATTAATTAGATTATTAATCCTTTAGCTCCTTATATATATTTGAATTATTAGGCCTATGTCAAGCATATAGCTGGCAAAGATCTCTCATGCTATAGACTACATTTTTAGCTCCATAACTATATTCTTCAATGTGCAGAAACTTTTTTAGCTTAATTAAATCCTATTTGTCAATTTTATTTGCTGAGGCACTGGAATTCTACTTAAGAAGTTCTGCCAATACCAATTAGTTCTGTTTCCCATACAGTTTCCTGTACCAGTTTCAAAGTTTCAGGTCTTATCTTGAGGTCTCTGACCCATTTTGAGTTGATATTAAAACTAGGCAACAAATAGGCATCATGTCAATCTTCTGCATATGGATGTCCAGTTTCCACTACACCATTTTTTTTGAAGAAGCTATCTTTTTCAAATATATATTTTTGGTTCCCTTGTCAAATATCAGATGATTGTAGATATCAATTTATTTCAGGGTTTTCTAGTGTGTTCCACTGATGTTCAGGTCTGTTTTTGTGCTCTAGCCACTCATCTGAGGATTGCTTTGGCTATTGGGAGCTTTTGTAATTCTATCTGAATTTTTAGATTGTTCTGTCTCTGGGAAGAATGACATTGGAACTGTGATATTAGTGCACTGAATCTGTAGATTGACTTCGCCAGTGCCATTCATAAACATCTTCCCAATGTCTTCAATTTCTTTTTTTCTTTATTCTAATACTAGGGACTAAACTCAAGGACTCACATTTATTAGGCAGGCCCTTTACCATTTGAACCATACCTTCAGCCCTTCAATTTCTTTTTTTTTGGGGGGGGGGGTCCGGTCGTGGGGCCTGAACTCTGGGCCTGGGCGCTGTCCCTCAGCTCTTCAGCTCAAGGCTAGCGCTCTACCACTTGAGCCACAGCACCACTTCCAGCTTTTTTCTTTTTGCTTATGTGGTGCTGAGGAATCGAACCCAGGGCCTCATGCCTGCAAGGCAAGCATTCTACCACTGAGCCACCTTCTCAGCCCCACCCTTCAATTTCTTTATTCAAAGTTTTATGGGTTTTTCTGTTTTTGTTGGTAGTGCTTGAACTCTGGGACTGGCCACCAGTGCCCAGCCAAAGTTTTATAGTTTTAATTGTAGAGGTCCTTCACTTCCTTGGTTAGGTTGATTTGTATTTTCATTGAGGCTATTGAAAACAAAGTTCTTCTCCTGATTCCCTTCTTTCTGTTCCCTTGTTGGTATACAAATGAGTAGGCTGAGCTGGGCACCTGTAGCCCATGCCTATAATCCTCCCTACTCAGGAGGATTATAACTGTGATCTGAGGATCACGGTTCAAAGCCAGACCAGGCAGGAAAAGTCTGTGAGACTCCTATCTCCAATTAACCACCAGAAAAACCAAACCAGAAGTGGTGCTGTGG